GGCTAACATTACAAGCTTACTGAACTATTTTACTGTTCCATTGTATTTGATTTTAATATCCGTTTGCTAGAGCAATATGTAGGTCCGTGTAAAAGTGCTGTTGGCAAACAGTCTTGTTTTTCTTTTTTCAAACTAAATATCTCAGACAGGTGTGACTTGATGTTGTCCTTCAGTTTTTCAGCAATACATTTTACAATTAATTTAATTTCGTCTACAACTACTGAAAATTTGTACGAACTTTTTAAATGAAATTGTGCGTATAAATTATATGTACTTATGTCTGGTTGAGCCATTCACGAAAGTGTGTGTAAGGTTTGTACATGGCACTTAAATTCGAAAATTAAATATTCATGAAAAGCCATATATGATATTTATTAAAATTATTTACGAATGAATATTTTTGATTCGTATGAAAAAAATTAAATTGTATACATGCATAGATCAATTCGTAAGATTTATCTCCATTTATTGTAAATATTTTTTTCTAGATGATTATATTCTCTAACCAGAAAACTACTGTTATAACAGTTTTTGAATTAATTGCGTTACATCTGTACGTTCCACAAGCAATTATGGTACCGGATCTGATTTTAGAGTTATGCCGCTTTTCAAGATGGTGTGCGATATGTATACATATACTTTTATGTGAAAATCATATATTTTAAAATTTTCAAACTATTTCAAACTCACCAATTATTAAAACAGAATCATCAATAAACAGGCTTTTGTGAAAGACGTATGACTACGGTGACTAGTTGATCACAAAAATAGGTCTTGCAAATTGACTTAAAAATGTTAGACAAGTAATAAAGGTAATGAAAAATTAAAGCAAGAGCAAGTCTCCGTTCGAGTTGTCATGTAAAAGCTTAACACCAAACCGCCAACACTCAATCCTCATTCTTGCGGCTGCTATGGTCCAGAAGATCAGATTTTCAGTTTGCCAAAAAAAAAGTATGTTTTTGTCTCATACGTCAATCATCTACATGCACTGTTACATAGCAAAAGTATGGATAATAACACTGAAGGTATATTTAATGAAATTTATTAATTAGATAGGTGGGAAATTTGTGGTTAATAAGAAATAAGTGTTTAAATATGCGCAGCTTTTAGTGCCAATTTTTGGGTATTTAGTTTTTTTCGTGAAATAGATCTTAGTAGAATTAGCTGGAATTAGCACGAGTTGCATAACTATTTAGTGAAAAGCAAAAGTCTAAGCTCTCATTCGATCCTAAACTTATCTGCTTTTCCAGCTTTCTTGCAAATTATTCACCATTTTCATCATTCATTACTGCTAAAAATTAGATTTTTAAATTTTGGTGTGAATTTGAAATAAGTTCGTAAGATGTGTACTCAACATGATGTTGCAAAAAGTCGATGGAAATAAAAATTAGAATACAATAAAGAAAGTTTAAAATAAAATTAAAACCTGGCAGTCATTCCGCGGGTCAGTAATACGTTTGAAGTTTAAATTTGGCGCTTGGCAGGCAGAAGTCCTAGACATTCCAAGATAATGTATTAAAAAAGGACAACCTCGATTGACTTATTGGGAAGGAAAAGAGCGAATTAAGAGAAAACTTGTCTCGGAAGTTCTTTTGAGCAAAACAATGCCAGTATTAACATACTACATTTTCGTATACGCTGCTACTATTGCAGCAACACAATTTCACCCACAAGGCCTACAATTAGTGCTGAGTGAGGTAGCTGCACCGTCGACTCGACCGACCAAAATAAATAAAAATAAGTGCGCCTGGGCCACACTGGAGAAGTGGAACTTATGTTACATATCTATTTTTTTCTATTTAGATCCCTACCTCTACCCCTGTTCGTTCTAATAACATTTATGTTATCCTGTGTTCCTTTATCATTTCCTTCATTTTTATCTTTATACTCTATCGATAATATACAATAAATAATATACAACAAAATATCGATAACAAAATCGATAAAAAATATCGATAACAAAATCGGTAAGTAATTGAAATAAATTCGATTAAAACATCCATAACAAAATTGATAAATATTCGACAACAAAACGGATAACCAAATCGATAGAAATATCGATAACAAAACCGATAAAAATATCGATACCAAAATCGATAAATAATTGATAACAAAATCGATAGCAGAATAGATAAATAATCGATAATAAAACCAATAATTATATCGATTACAAAATCATTTAAAAAATAGACTAAAAATCGATAACAAATATCGATTATTATACCGACAAGTTCGGAAAATATAGATAGCAAAATCGATAACAATATCGATAAAAATTTCGATAACAAAATCGATAAAAAATATCGATAACAAAACTTATAAAAATATCGATTATTATATTGATAAGTCTCGAGAATCTCTAAAAACTCTAAAATCCCAAAATAGTTCCCAGAATGGGGTTCTGTGTTTTTCTATATCCTTTTTCTATAATTACCTATATTTTAATCTTTCTTCCTCTATCTTCATCTCTGCTTTTATTAGTATCCTCACCCTCATCCTTTTCTTTGTTTTTACTTTTATGTTTATCATTTTCTTCATCTACATATTCCCCTTCACCTTTGCCCTTATATAGGTAAAGTGTTTAAATTTGCCTTGGTTTTCATTTTTGCCTTTATCTTTTGCACAAAAGATGCACTCTTTTTTATTTTTACCTTTGCCTTTATCCTTTGTTTTATCTATGTACGTACTCATCTTTACTTTCATTATTGTAATGGTCTTTTTCTCTCTAGTATTTTTATTCGAAAATAATTAAGCAAGCAACAATATATGTATGAATATGTGGTTATTAAATAGGTCTCTAAATAGCGATATCTATCCTGCTTATAATTAATTAATTGATTGAAAGCTTGTAATATTCCAGCGGACGATTTTCGGTACACGAATTCGTTGGGTTACGACCGAGAGGTTAAATGAATCTTGTCACGGTGGGTTAGGTCGGCGGGACCCATATATAAGCTAGCGAAACAGTGGCGTGGGTGGGTTCTTTGACCCTTTCACCGGATATCACCTCATATTACCGTATTACAGAGTCCCTAAAGTCCCTATTATTAGCACAAAAATTTGTTGTTTAACAATTAATTGAACGGAACCAAAAACAGCATAAGATCCTGACCTAATACAGCCAAACAACCGCACCGAAAAGGTCAAGGAGCATAAGAAAATTAAAAAGGGGGTATCTTACTTTACCTTACGAGCACAAAAGATGTTGGGTTGCTCGCTCGTCTAAACCCTCCCAACCTGGTCTTCACATGGATGACCTTTTGAAGACCCCTACTACTAATTACGCTACCCTAACGACACATCTCACCAAGGAAACTAGATAATTTAGCTTTAATAATTCATAATAGATGTTTTATAATATAATTTCGTATGATGCATAATAACAATTTCATGATAAACAATTTTTGATGACCGTTTCCCAAAACTTAGTAGGTAGAGTCGTTGAAAGTTATAATTGTTTATAGATCTTAACAGCATTTAAGACGAAAATTTAATCAATTAAGTAACAAAAATTTTACCATATTAGTTCCAAGTCTTATATTCTAACAAAATTTAACAAATTCAAATAGGTAATTATTAATTACAACTTATAGCTACTACGTTTACCCTGTAAATAATCGTAAATATTTTACTAAGCATACATTATATATTGAGGAGGATTTCTGTGTTCATATTGGTTTGCTTTTGTGGTAAGACATTTACTATTCCTAACTTGCAAAATTGAGTTAAATGGTTATTGTTTTTATGTATGTCTTTAAGTATTATATATGTATATCAAAAGTAATTCGAATTGGTTTAGTTAGCACAGAAAAAAAATACAAATTTCAACAGCGTAACGGTGCCGAAAACTCTTCGAGCAAAAATGAAAGCGCGATGAATGAAAAAGAGATCGAAAAAAAAACTAAAGAAAATTTGCTCTGCAGCTTAACTCAGGGAATCTCTTTATACATACTTGCACAGGTTATATATGTAGCGTTGCATGTGTTAAGCTGTTTGACAGGCAATAACATATCGCGCCGCTGTTAAGTGCTATGAGCTAACCGTGAGATTTTCGGTTGAGTACGCTTAACAGAGACTCGCTATGGTATAGTACAATAAAAGAAAATTTAAATGTTAACTCACCAATGCCTTGACGTCGGGACGATGTTGAAAGCGCTTCCAAATCGATGATACTCGTGCAAAATTCGGTTCTTGGTATGTTTATATAACAAGTATTTTTAAATGATTTTTCTTCTTTTTGAATACCCTATTTATACTTAATTTATATTGCCGTTAGCGTGAAGAACGTACGATTTGGAGGTATGACTTTTCGACACCACTACCGTTAGTAGGAAAACTGTACTACCAAAAGCTTGCATTCGATTTTCTAAATTTAAACAAACTGACTTACGTACTATTTCATATGAACATTTTACACATTGAACAACTTTTAAATTTCGTTATGCTCTGAGCACTGTTTACGCCCTATGCAACTTTTGTATAAATTTCTATGGAAATTAGAGCAATTTTTGCACGATTTCACCACTGTACTTTCCATATACCTTTACACTACTACTATATTTAACGTTTACGAGCCGAGTGGAAAAAGTTATATCCGATTTGGCTCAGTTGAGTAGGTTTGAATATTATCTACTTTTTGGCACTTTTCCTATTTTAAACTATGTAGTTTTTATTTTTACTTTTGGGTTGTCTTGTGAAAATTTGCCGCCGGGCGTTGGTAATGCTTTCGCGACGCTAAAACTATCACGTTACCGAGGTGAGACACTCCCGAAGCCGATGCTTGTACTGAGCAGCGGTCTGGGGATTCTGCCTGATGCGTGCCTGTTGCTCTGTATCGTATTTGTCCTAAGCGTGGGAGAGCCTTTAATGCTTCTTTTGAAGTCCCGTATTGGTTTTGTGCAATGTTGTGACGGCTTCTAATGCTAATTAATTTGCCTTGGTAGTTCTCCAACTTTTCCAACAAAGTTGCAGTGCACAAAGCACTGAAAAATCAAGATTGGTGTGCACCTTCCAGGCAAATTATACTCACAACACCTACGTGTGTCAATGTGCGTTTTCTCAAGAAAAAAGCCTAAGACAAGGAATTGATTGCTTAAAACCAGCTTGGTTGAAAATAATAAAATAGCTACACTTAAATACTTACGAGCTCGTAGCAAGCGAAAACTGTTGAAAGCAAAATTTATGTTACTGATTCAATAAATTAATATGGATTTAAATATTAACTTTTTCGTCTTATCTGCTCCACGGATCGATGAGAAAAGAAGGATATAAAGGTTTCAAGACTCGACCTAAGCTAATTTGACAAAACATTACTTCCGCCTGTCAAGTAATGATTTGCAATCGATATTTGTCCTTTTATCGATATAGGTAATTTTCGGGGTATGTTAATTAGAACGCCCCTGCTAAGTTGCCAAAGTTTGTTGAATCTAGAAGGGAAATATTTTAAATGGAGAATTTGCAGAAATTCTAATTGGGGGCAAAAAATATTTTAGGTGAGATAATAATTAAAGTCTGCCACTCAAATTCATGAGAAAAAAAATCAGTAAGGCTTTAACAGCTCCATATATCGAAAAGGTGTAGGAAAAGGTCACTTTAAAGCGCTCTTTAAATTTATATTCTTCATATGAATAAGGCCATGAAAATATTCTGTTGGGAAAAATTTTATTTTGGAAAACGTCCATTACAAGCTACAATGTAGGCCAGGAGACCTAAAGCTCTCTTAAGCACTTGTCGTTTAGTTACATCATATAATATTTTATTTAGCTTTAAAATCTTAAGTCTTAACTTTTTAGATAGGAGACGACCCTATTGAAAATTATCTCTACATCAAATATTACTGAAATATCTTTCGTTTGATACCCATATTGTATTATTTCATTTATCTTATCAATTTAATTGATTTAAATTTTTCCAACAGGTGGAAAGTCTCCCAAAAACTATGTTCAGCTTGAAAATCTCTTAAATCTCTTTTCCATATTGTATTATTTATTTAGTTTCTTTTATCAAGTTAACTAAAAAAATGTTTCAATCAGGTGGCCACTCTCTATTTTTTTTCTCTTTTAAATCATCCGAATATTAAAACCAACGTTTCAAACGATTTGGACATAACTATGGTTAGAGGACCAAACATCGACTAGGTTTACTATCTTGTTGCAACGCGCTTGCTCTGACAACACTCTTCAACGAACCTAGTTCTGTATTGTAGTATATGAGCGAGTCTCACTGGGGTCGACAAAAACGTGTTTTTGGTCGAAAATGGTGGCACACTTATCTTAGACAATGCATTATATTCAGTTTTGCATAAAAAATAAGATTGCATTGCAAAATTGTATTTAAATTAAAACTTAAAAAAGATATACTAAAAAAAGTAAAATAAAAATACTAACTCATGCTCATATACCCGTATTTGTGTATCTAACTTATATGTATTTTTTTTTCATTTTGTGGCAAACTTATTTTATTACTCTAGATTGGTTTGTTTTGGCAAAACGAACATTTTCACCGTTTAATTTTGACAATTTTAAGTATCTTAAACTTTTGAAATGAAAAAATCGTTAAACTTAAAAGACATTCTGCAGGCCGACATTTTTTTTTTTTTATTTGGTGGCACACTCTCGAAACCTCACAAATATGCTGTATTTGATGCCAACTTTCATTGCCTCTTATATGGAAATTCTATTTGAAAACTTCCCGAAGTTATTTAAAAAAATTATGAAATAATGATTTTGTCGAGTTACAAATAAATAAAATTATAGTTTAAAAAACTAAAACTTCGCTAGTATAAAAAGCATTCGTACTGCATCAGGTATGAGAATAGAAATCTTTTAGGCGCATCCATATTACATAGTTACATCCCGAGCTAATAAAAGGGAGGTAAAAATGAGTAATTTCGGTACTTTTTCGCTTAAGTAGTCGTTTTAAGGCTAAAATTGTTCAAGTACTTGATTTGTTTTTGTTTTTTTTTTTTGTACATGTTTCTGGAACTCCATGAATTTAAAGAAGTGCAATAAGAATGCTTTAGCGTTTTTTTTGCCGAGGGAAGGGAGTGACATATATGCGAGCAATGGTACTCCTGTCGCTCATCGCGTTCCAGTCGAATTTCAGCGAGCTCCAAAGAACAACTAAATAGCACGATGATGAATGCTACCCCACATGCGCCATCAAATAAAAGGAAAATTATTAACAAAAATCTGTTTTTGATACTTTAAAGCTCTTCAGTGTTAATGTCAACAGATATTAAGGAGTGAAATTTATACTTTTTTAATGGTCTTAAATATTCTATTTTGTAATACATTCTTAAAATTTACAACAAATGTTCAAAGTTTTTGTTTCCTAATCCGACTTTTGATAATATCTAGACTTTTATGGCTGCAAAATCTTTAATAGCTCGCTATTTGTTTAAACCCTAAAACAACTTGCTACTGCTGCTTTGTATATTCATTAGGGTGGTCCAAAATAAGTAAAGTCGGAATTTTGATGCTCTCACCCCCGATGATTGTTCTATATCGAAAAAAGTATACCCCTATTTTTTATTTTATGTATGGGAAAAAACAACTTTTCGTGGAAATGGTATGGAATTCTTGAAAATCAATATTTTTCGATCGGAAAACTCTGTTTTCTCTTCAGGAGACTTCCAATAACAATATCCAATTATGTATTTAACCATTTTTTAATAATGAAGATTTTTTATTTATTCCTCCATTGCATTTTCTGGCATTTTCTAGGGGTTTCGGCGGTCCTATCAAATATAGTTACTTAGGAAAAATTGTTAAAAAATAATTGGGTTTTATTATTGGGGATCTGTTGAAGAGCAACATTTTTTGATTATTGATTATTGAATTATTGATTTTCACGAATTCCATACCATTTCCACGAAAAGTCCTTTTTTCCCCCATACAAAACACCTGGAAAACTTTGAGCGCTCTCTGAATATTTATTGATTTCAAAATAAAAAAATTGGGGTATACTTTTTTTCGATATAGAACCATTCTAGGGGGTGAGAGCATAAAAATTCCGACTTTACTTTTTTTACATGCATTTTTGGACCACCCTAATATTCACGAATTGAAGTACGAGTATTTTCTACCTTCTTGCGAACTTTTTAGCACGCAGTTTTTCGAGTGATTCAGTTGCTCGCTGAATAAGAAAACGATAATTCGATCAATCCTTCAGACGAGGTGAAGCAGAAAGGATATTTTCGAGTGCAAAAAGATTACAAGGAGAAAAGGAAACTCCCTCGCGTAATCTTAATGCAGGTTAAAAGAGTGATTTCGCGTCTATTTAGGTGTAACAAAAATGGTGCTGATTACAGCTGCTTGTTTCGCTATAAAATGTTTATTGCAATTATATATATACATAAATACGTGCATACGTATAAACCTTAGCGAGCATTTAAGCACAGACGAAAGCACCTCAGTATATTTATATGCAAGTATAGAAGTGCTTGTGCGTTAAACTTTGATAACGGCTGCAAACTTTTTTGGCAAAAGCAACAAATGGAAAAGGAAAATTCGAAAACAAACACAAACACCAGGCAGCAAGCAATAGCAAGCAATTTAGCAGACGGCTGGAGCGGGCAGGAGGCGAGGAATTGGTAAAAACCTTCGAAATAAAGGCGAAAGAGTAAAAGTCACAAAAGTACAGTCCATAAAAAGGGCATATGCCTATTTGACTATTTGCAAAGCAGGAAAATTGAGCAAAGTTGAAACCGCTACAAGGAGAGCCGAGAATAGGTGGAAGCAATTTTTACGACTCGTTTGTGATTGCCACGTGAACCTCTGAGCCAATACAGATTCAACTCTCTGCAAACAAAAAGTAAACATTTAAAAAAATACCTAAGTGTACGTACATATGTACATACTTTTCTAACTGCCAAGCGCTTAATGGCTTGAAAATGCGTTTGCAAGTGGGGTGGTAAAATGAAAAAGTCAGCTTCATTTCAACTTAACACTTACAAGGGTTTACTTTTTAGCTCATGAAAAATAATAAGGGCATATGTACCCGAAAAGTTTATTTCTTATCTGACAAAGGAAGACATTAACCATTGCCCCAGGGAGTTGTAACCGTGAATTGGCTTCCATTTCTTAACGCTTTGCCAATTTTGCTATTTCTGCTACTACATATTTCCTGCCAGCCAGCACGCAAATTTGCGCTAATAGCGGAAGCGGTGTGAATTTTTTCCCCCTCATAACAATGTATTAGTTAGACAAATATTACCCTTCCGTCGGATGGCAAATGTGACAGCAAAAATGTGAAGCAGAAAAAATACAAAAAGTTTGAACCTGTGAAATAATAAATAAAGGTTATTTCCTAAATTGCCTTCCATTCTGCCATCACCGAGCTATATTTGTTTTCAATACTACTTTAATTAAGAATACAATTTTATTAATGAAATAAAATAGAGGTATGTAAAGATAGGAATAACAAAATACTAAAATATATTGCAACATTTAAATGTGGGTCAAATATAATTGGCTCCTATGCAATGAATTGGAATAAGTAACATTAAAACATTCAGCATTTATATTTCAATTAAAAGCGCTGGAGTTGCAAAATTGAAAATTTATGCACTCATGCGTGTGCATATTTGAACAAGCCCCACCAACCAGTAGGCAGTTAGATTGCAAACTTTCTAGCCATGCCATGTTAACGATCGACCTGCCAATAGCCGGGTAGGCGAATTGCATTTACGTACATATGTGGTATTTACATAGGCATACATATATGGACACACATGCAGAAAAGTACGTACATACATATATGCCTATATTGTATATACATTTGTACATTAGGGTGATTATTAAATGTAGGAAGCAAATGTTTCCATCATATTTCCTACGCTTCAATCACTAAGTCGATACTAAATACTATAGTCGAAGATATAAATTTTGGTCCCGATTGAAGATGGGACCCTATGAAGATATTTTAACCGACTCGAATCGAGACCAAAATTTATATATGATATCTGTGACCGTGGTATTACCGATTGAGGGGGTGGGACTGAAAAAAATCGTTTATTTGATTTTTAAGGATCATCCTAATTCACATACATGTGTGTTCATTTCTGTATCCTTTGCTACCGAAAATCAAGCCAAAAATCAAGCAGACGCAAACCAAAAACAGTCGAGTAATCGATGTGATATTGATGCCAATAAAACCAACTCGTTGACTGACCAACTGGCTGACTTGGCGTGTAGTATTGCTACAAACGAGTACATATGTACATACATACAGACAGACATACTTATTCGTGCATAGTAAATA